ACGCCACAAAGGACTGACCCCCCCGGCGGCTTGTTTTGTGTGTCTGTGGACCGTCCGCTGCGTATTGTCTTCTGTGCTGCTGGAATCACAGCAGCGTGCGTGTCTGCACAAACTAGGTCAGTAGGAGGACAGGAAATCTCTGTTCTCTTGTCTGTCTGACATCAACGTGTTTCTCCACGGCAGGACAATGGTTGTATACTTCTGCACACGGCTCCATGTTTCTAGATTGCTCACGTGCTTTAAAGTGCATTTGAAAGGCCCCGGCTGCTCTCGCTCGGCGTCTTACACAAAGTGGTGGCTTGTATTTGACAAATGTGCTTAAGGCTAATTTGCTGCTCGCCTAAATCATGAATAGTCTCCGTGCTCTCCACATCGGCCCACCTCGCCTCCGTCTCCCTCTTTACTGCTGCTCATCTACATATTTGTTAATATTCACCGGAAAGATGAAGCAGCCTGATAATTTGGGGGGGAGGGGGGTCTAATGTTGAAGGTTTAGTAGCTTGAGTCAAACCGTGCATAATCCCCACTAGAGAAGAGAAGGGGGATCTTGTAAGTACTCTTTCCTTCCTTCACTCCCGTCTCGCTGTCTTATCTGCCAGCGGGTTTCGCGTGTAGGAGGTTTGTGCTGGTCTCAGCTTCGGGGGGCAGAGCGGGGCCCCCGCGTCAGAGGAGCCGCGTGTCCTGATCACTGATCCTGGGACACAAGTTGAAAAAGAAAAAGGCCTGCAGTGCAGAGGGGGAAGAGGTGGCAGCGCGTTGTAAAGGGGAAGGAGTCAGGAGGATGAAGGGATGAGGGAGGACGGGATGAAGAGGGAAGAGCAGAGTGCCAGGATTTATTAATCAGAAGCAGCACAGACAAAGGACACGTGAAGCAGCTTGTGGCCAACAGGATCAAAAGTAATGGTGGGGGGAAAAAGGAGACAAAAATAGGAGTCAAAAAGTCAGGGGTTAGAAAAAGGGAGAAAAAAAATCCCTTTTCTTTGCGAAGAATTTGTGCTGAAAAGCACAAATTTTAATTGTTTTGTTGTTCCTGCAAAAGTTCAACGGAGGACCAAGGGTTTCCGGTCATGTGCATCTGGTACTAAGTGCCCTTTATTGTCTCACAAATCTATCAGTCTGCACATCTGAGTGCATGGGTGCAGCCAGGTCTGCTGGTTGATGGGAAGTGTGTCCATTTCCTCTTGAGTTGCTGAAATGTAGAGCCTGGGCTGAAGTGCACGAGGTGGAGAAGGCACTGAATGGCTGAAGGAGAATAAAGACGATAAGCACAGTGTTCTGTTGAGTTGTCGGCGATGACTCGGGCCGGGTGTCTGGTGGCTGTGTGTCGATTTGTGTTGACCTCTGCCCTCTCATAACCCTTGTGATCTTTGAGGCTGGACATGTTTAACATGTTTGACGCCATAGTGTCCAGCAGCCTCCTATTTACTTTGTTTTCTTCCCGCTGACGTATAGATGGCACTGGAAGCTCACATTACAAATGAACAGACCGCAGCCACCCATGTGGACAGCTACCTTTGGAGAAAATGTGTGTGTGCCATTTTTTTTGTGCGGGCACCTGCATGTCTGTATTGGTGGAGTCCAGTGATGCCTAATTTGCCCGTACTGTCCTAAGAGGCTGCAGGGTTGACGGAGGGCTTAGAGTGGGGCAGCTGTGAACAAGTTTGCTCCATTACAGCCGACGCTCTTAGCCTGATTTGTTGGCTCAGCAGCACTCACTTATCAACGGATCGATAAAGGGAAGTTGGACCAAACTGGGGGACCGACGCTGAAAGCACATCTATCCGCACCATCTGCCCAGGTTTCTTTGCCCTTGTTTCAAAAATAAAATCGCTCGGAAAATGTACCTTTTATCAAAACCAAACCATTGAACCTCATGAGAATGCTCCATCTAAAGCCCCCCTCCCACAGACACACACATAAAAAGTGAGAATTATTCTAAATTGAAACTATGCAACTATGAATCCATGAAAAAACATATTGAAAACTGATAAAAAACAGAGTTAACTGATGTGAGCAATGATCGGAAAGTGATCGGAAAGCGATCGGAAAGATACTTGGATAATGAATTAATGGTTTTATTCAAAGCTGGGCTCATTTCCAATTTGATGTAATTTGAGGGTAGTTTAAATACAAAAGACTTATTCCTTAATCGAGACAACAACCTGCAAATTAATCGATAATGCAAACCATTGATAAAAAAAAGCATGACTTCCTAAATTGTATTCTTGAAGTTGTCCTCTCAGTCAGTGAGTGAAACTTGCACTACAGCGTCAGAACGGAGTCTGCAGCTACTCGACAGCAGACACCCACCCACCTCTAAAGTGATAAAGCAGCTTTGGGGCGAGCCTCCCTCCCGGGCCGCGTTCAGCCTCTCGCACTGTGACTGGGCGGCTGGTGAAAGCTCAGCATCAAGTGATCACAACGGATCGGGTCGGCTCGATGCCGCCCAGCGACCCTGCGCCTTCACCCGTCAATCATTGCCAACACATAAACATCGGTCCAGTTGCATTAACGAAATCAGCCCGGGTAATCTTTTCTTAGCACCGCCATTACGGAGACGAATGTCACTGGGCGAGAGTGGGAAGGACTTATCTTACATCTTTTTTTTCCCCAATTTCCTCTGCGTAGGTGTATAATGGCGTCAACTCCTCATCTTGCAACGTGTGGGGGAGAGAGCGGAGGCATCTCGCTCATCATCTCCCTTTGCGTTTTGCAGTTTCTGTGGAAATAAGAAGCTGTTAATGATGTCCCTGTAGTGGCCTACGGTTTCACACAGAGATTAAGCTCCCCAGGGTCAACAGGGAAACCAACCCAATATGCACAGCCATCAGTGGCAGGTAGGGTGGGGGGCGCTGCAGCGTTGCCATGGTGACGGATTTTTCCCATGTAATGATCTTCATTATAAAACCGGTAAATTATGTACACTCGGCTCGGTGTAAATCTGTACATTTGACAGGGCCACTGTGTCATTCTGACATCAAGCCACAAATCATGCAGCTGCACTGCCGTCTACACTCACTTTTAATTGCTTCCAGGCTCGGAGAGGGTGTCGCTCCTTTTTTTTTTTTTGTTGTTGTTGTGATAAGCTATCTCAGCAGATGTCTGGCGCTGGTTAGAAACTGTGCTGTTGCGGCTGTGTGTCTGCACTGTGACCCCCTTAAACCCTGCCTGACTGAACCCGAGCATGAAACAACAGTGGAAAACACAAACCTCAGGGCCTGTTCTTTGTTAGAGGTCGGAGGAGCCCAGGTTGGGGCCAACATGCGAATCGCTCCACATTCCACATTCTCTCGGTTGTTTTAAGCAGAGTTCTGATTACACAACACGACATGTATGTGTGCGTATCCTCCGGCCCCTGCAGCGCTCAGCCTGGGACTCCGGCACGCCAGCATTATTAGGCAGCCAGTAGCGTTATAAAATCCACAACAACTGCTGCTGTAGACAACAAAGCGGGAAACCTGGCTGTTCTTTTCTTCTAAGGAAACGGTCATGTGAGGAATCAGGGAAGGACATGTTGTGAACTGCTAAGACCCAAACAACTAGCCGACATGGATGTTGACATTATTGTTTCCAAACTCACGTAATTACGACAGTCCACTCGAAAACACAATCCCTGAGCTTTGAACCTTATCCGGCGTCGGGAAGACACTTCTCCACAGGCAGAGGCCGGACGTCAGACTGCTGATCTTTATAATGTGGATGTCTGCAGCGTTTAGTTGTCCCAGTCGTCTCCCTTCTTTCAATCCCTCTCTTCGTTCTGCCAGACTCAAATCTCCCCTCACTCCCTCCGGCCGACATGCGGTTGGGGTTGGTCAAGGAAAGGGAAATTGGCCACCCTGGGATCAGACAAACACACACACGAAATGCTGTGTGTTTGTGTGACACAATCCCAGTGAAATGTATGTTGAGAAAGAGAACAGACAAATGTAAGTTGTTTTTTTTGCTGGATACAGATACAATTTAGCTAAATATGTGCGGAATGCCATTGTCTTTTCATGAGCACGAGTTGTTTTGGTCTGAGGTTGTCTCAAACATTTGGCTGAGGTTCGTGCACTGGAGACTTGGGGAAATATTTGACACAGCTCCTTTTCATTGGAGATTACAGTGGCTACTACTGCCTTTGAAGTCAATGTTGCTCCTGCAGTCTTGCTTTGAGTCTTACTGCTTACTTACTGAGTTTTCTGTGACGCGATGTTCTTCTGCGGCTCACACAAGGAACACTGGAATGAGGTCAGTGTTTTGTTCTAACGGACAAATGCGAGACACGTGTGTTAACTCAACACAGACTCCTGGAAGAGTGCAAATTTCTTGAAAACTAAAAGCAATTCAGTTAGAGGAAAACGCACAGCTTAGATGAAGCGATCTCGATGGGGGTCGGGTGGATGAGGCAGGATGGGAATGGGGGACGGGACCGAAAAACACTAACTCTCCCAAGCGAGGGTCTTCCAAAGGGTTGAAGAGGATGTCCGGTCCCAGCTTGCCCCGCAGCTCACTTCCCATGTCCTCCTGACACCCCTCCGTAGCAGCCGGCCTGCCGGCCTTTTTCGCTACAACTGTTCTGACCTCATCCGTCTGCCTTGCATCAGAATGTGTGTTGGTCATGTGATTGGATGCACAGCTTGAACATCGTGCGTGACATAACAGTGCATATTTTTTGTTGCTGCTCACAGCTGCACATCTGCGTTTGAAGAGAAAGGCTATTTTTATATGCTCTCCCGTATCTTTTTCCCTCCCGTGTCCCGTCTCCTCTCACTGAGCAGCGCAGCTGTTTGCATTTAATAGTCAGCCAATAGTTCTATTGCCTAAAACGAAATGCATTTTTTGCACGTATATTAATTGATTCGTTGACTGATGAGGTCTGAACGGAGAGAGTCAGTACTTCTGCACTTTGAATCAATAAATTCTTCTACTGCACATCGGTTCTCTTTCCCGCTTTTCAGACGCTCATTGTTTTACCAACAACCTCCTGCTCTCTTTCTCTCCCCGACTCTCGTCTCCAGACTCATACTCAGCAGCAGGCAGTGAGGGCAGCATCTCCACCTCCGTGGCGTCGCTCCCCCCGCAGGCATCGGGCAGCTCGGCTCCGAGCTCCCCGGGCTCCAGGCGCTCCGTGAGCACGCTGAAGAAGTGGCTCACCAACCCCGTCCGCAAACTCAGCGTGGGGGCCAAAGGGGAGCGCGAGGTCCGCAAACTGGAAGGAAAGCCTCCGCCTCCTCCGCCGCACAGCCACAGCCAGGACCTGGGCAGCCCCCCGAGACTTGATGAGACCTTCATCATCCTGCCTGTCACCCATAGAGAACTAGTGAGTAGTGAAATGTTGTAACAAGGATGCATCCTTTTCTTTTTTCTTGGTCACATGAACTAGTCAAACAAGGTCTTGCGTGCTGGTTTTGTGCTTCAAGTTGTCTTTTGCGTGTTTGTGATGAACCTCCCATAAGTAAACTCCAATTACCGTCTTATCACAACGCCTGTGAAATAAACATGCAAAGTCTTGGTCTTGTATAAATACAAGCTAAAGGCAACATCTTGACAGTGTCGTGTTTACACCAGGTAGCTGGGGACTGTTAGTGGAGATGTAGAGCTGATGCACGAGGGACTAAGTGTGATGGCGTTACATAAACAGAAGCCCTCAGAAAGTCCCGGCGCCATGTACTATAATTCATGCGCTCACGGACAGTTTGCATCATGCTGATTCTGTGTTATTCTGACAGTGTGCATGTCTGTGTGTGTGTTCCAGGAGTGGAAAGATGGCCTGGCGAGCCCAGAAGACCTGTCCCCGGCTACACTGCAGTCCCCCGGCTGCATAACTGACTCGCTGATTGGCTGCACGTCACTGCCGAACACTCAGGTCTGTCACCACCTAAACCTGGCGAATGTGTCACAATATTATATATAACACCTAGCAGAGCCGATGTTACTGGCTTTAATACAAATAGTCATTTCGAAAGGATAACCCGAATACTCGATTGTGCTTTGTGGAATAAAAAACGTTTCAATTCATTTTTAGCTGACAATTTAGTGAAGACAACAGCAGTAATGTTCCTAGTGAGGTCCCAGCCTGGCGGGGAGGTGACATTATGCCTGCTTGTCACCATTGCCTCCCCGACAGTTCTGGAAATGACTAACTCTGCTGAGGGGGGCTCACAGACTATGTTGATGTACCAGAGGGCAAAGTTTGCATGCGACCAGTGTAACGCATGACTCACACTATGTTACAAAAGAACACGCCTGGAGATAAATGGCATATAGCACAAATCAGCAGATGTGATCAAAGATGACGGCCCACTTCTGCGTAGCCGACAAAGAGCGCTGTGAGTGCACATTTGCCCGCAGTTCTCTATCAACACTCACTTGGAGTCAGTTGCTCGTCTCAAGTCGAGGAGTTGGACGCACGGCGGAAACTAAGATTCACTGGAGCAGCAGTAATATAGCAGGAATCACTAGAGCCGGAACCCTTAATAATATACAGTTAAACAATAATGACACCCGGCTATTTGTGCGCTGTGCAGTGACGCTTGTGGGTGAATCAACACCAAACCATTAAAAGCCTAGTTTCATTCAGAACAACACATTGAAAGGCATTGATGTGGTTACATCAGGGACATGAGGTTACCGCTCGGTGCTCAGAGAGAGAGAGAGAGAGAGAGATGACATTTTATAGGGCAGTTATCTCTGAGATGTGGTTACTGTCTTCACCTCCTGTCGCCTCATGTCCCATGTTTTATGCATCGTCGTTCTCTTCTCTTCTCCACTCCACTCCACTCGTCTCTAATCTCGCGTCAACTGTAGAACATTGTTTTTGATTAAATGTTTTGTTGTCAGCAGTTAAACAAAAAGTGTCCAAAAAGGCCACCAGAATTGCCCAGAACAATTGTTCTTAAATGGCTCGTCTAGAAGGACAGTGAGATGTCTTCAAAGCCCAATCCTCAGTCAACAACGATGCAAAGTGTTTCAAGCATCAGCAATTTTTTTATGGGTATGATGTCTTACATATACCTTGAGGTTTAAGATGTTTTAAACCGGAACCCACACAACAAAAAATGTAACCCTGTTCTTCCTTTATCAATCTCCCATGGGGGAATTTTGGCTGTTGCAGTAGCTCAAGCACAAAGACAGACTTGTATCACAGGGATACAGCGTCTAATTCTTTCCTTTGGGACTTGCTGCAGCGCATCTGGAGGTGATTAGGGAGCCAGGGAGACCTGTCAGCCGGGCCGGAACACTGCTCGCGGGGCAGCGAGGGCCTTTATGGAGCCTGCCTGTCTCTCCCCACGCCGCTGCCTCTCTCCTTAGCTCTGCTAGCGTCTTTCATCTCTTCCCCTCTGTCACACATCACTTTGACAGAACAGAGAGCTCACGAGTTGTAGACACCAGCTGGTTTGACAGGTGAACAAATTGAACTAGGCCAGAGGGGAAACGGAGAAAGTTCCATAGTTTTTTTCCACTTGCTTATATGTCTATCTATCTGATCAATAGCCGCCTGCCAGGGGATTAGCTGCAGGTCTGCGTGTGTGTTTAAGGTGGGCAGGTTCTGCTTGGCCGAGACAATTGGACATGCGGATTTAGGTGAGGACAGACGGTTGCTCCTATAAGTTTACACAGTCAGTAGAGAGTGACGTGCCTAAAAAGAAAGCGCTGAGCAGCACGGCTAAAAATAGAGGAGAGGACTTTTGTAAGCACACACTTTGACAGAGGGACGCCTGGGAATCATTGTACGACCATATATGGCAGAAGTGTGCTTATTGTGCAAGAGATGTAGGTCAAACACACATGTTGGTCTGGAGTATCTATTGAAGAAATGAGGATTTTAGTCTTTGCAGGCTTTGTTCCCATGTGCATGACTCTATATTTGCACCGGGACCCCCACAGGAAACTATATCAATTGCAGGAAGAAGCATGAATAGAAGGTCATGTATACAACACATGAACACAATCAATTCGATCAGAAGAATCGTATGTTTATTCTGCGTGCCTTTCTATTGGCTCTAGTAGATGCAGAAAATACAAACAAAGATCTGACAACTTTACATGTTGTTTTAAATCCTCCTCCGGTGGCAAAATACAAAATAATGTAATAATCCACACGTAAGTCAGAAATATAACTTTCAGCGGGCAATCAGTAATGGCACTCATCTTCCTCTAAAGCCAAAACCTTCAGAGTGCTATTTTGCATTTTGTCTTTGCTGATAGTTTGGAACCTTTTGCTCCTCCGACGGTTTATCTCCTTCTCTCCATCAACCTGTGGCTGATGTGCACAGCACGCACCATTAACGCTGACAATCTGAATCCGATCTTCTTATCCCTCAATCTCTATTCCTCGTGCTCTTTCTGGTCACCTCGGCAACCTGCATCATTATAATCTCTCTCTGACTCTTTATCTCCCTGGGCTTTATTTTTTCCTGGCATGATGCTCATTACCGCCAAAGGACCTTTGATAAACAGTTTCTCTGTCTGTCTGTCTGTGTCCTCAGGACACTCAGTCCACCAGTGTTTTGCCAGATGACAGCAGCTCCGTCTTGATGGACGACACCTCCAGCCAATGGTCAGCTGTGGCTGACACTGAGGAGGAGAGGAGGAGCGCCTTAGAGAAAAGCATGTATGTTGTGTATCAATGCAAACGACCAAACTATTATTCATCTCCCCTGACAATCCATTGGATGAAAATGAACATATGTTTTTATTTGTTGGAATCCTTATTGTCCACATTTATTCTGTATGTTTGCATCACGCAGAAAGAAATGCTGATGATCTTAACTGAAGGGTTCACTTAGGAGCTCTCTCTGGAGCATTAAACCACATCTCATGGTCAGAATCAGCTGCAATCACTTGACCGAAGTTCCACCCTCGGGTCATCTGACGACAACTGAGTTGTATCCATGGCAACAGAGCAAATTTTGTTACCTGATGAACACTGTGAGATGTTGTTAAAAAGTCAATGGGCATTGAGTTGAAAACTGGGTGTGGGGGAACTTTTCCCTTCTAAAACGTAGCATATTTCAAAATCACGTCCTGCCTTCTTTAGAAAATGTGGTACCAAGATTGAAGCATAATTAAACCTAATACGCCTTTTTGTATTTTTACAGGTATGTACTGCAGGAGCTTATTGAGACAGAGAAGCACTATGTGGTGGACTTGGGGCTCATAGTGGAGGTAAACCTCAACGTCTGCCAGCTAACAACACACATTCTGCCCTGTGCGTCCTTAAACCTACACTACCATCCCATAGAATGTGTAACAAGGTTGAGCATGTCCCAAAGCTGCAAAAATATGAATATGTCGTACTGCATCCAGTCGCATGTTGCATATGCAAGCCAGCGCGCTTTTTCAGCCTTTCTGACGCACAATTGTCTGGCCAGCAAATATACGTACGGGAGGGTCAAAGTTTAAGGTGCGATGTTATGACAATAGTTTATCCCAATTGAATGCAGATCTCATGCAACAGTAAATACTCGTGTGTACTAAATGCTTGTGTGTACTGAAAGTAAAAAAAAACAATCTGCAGCTAAGAGTTTGTATTAGTCATTTTCTTTCAGCGAAGAATTCATGCTATCTGAAAGTTCATTAAAAAAACTTTTGCTCTTTGCTGCTGTGTGATTGTTGCGATGTGTTATAAGAGCCGAGCTCAATTTACTGGTGTTCTTCAGAGCCAGGTGTTGGTTTTGTTGGTATAAACAGACACTGTTATTTCCATTGCAGGGCTACATGTCCACAATGCACTCCAAAGGTATACCGGAGGACATGAAGGGAAAAGACAAGATTGTTTTTGGAAACATTCACCAGATATTTGACTGGCATAAAGAGTAAGTTGTTGGTTTTGTTTCTGAGAATATCCTTTGTTTGATGTGAAAAATGTGTCTGGTTTGCAGAGTATTGTGTTTGTAGCCCGAGTGGAGGACAAAAGAAACAATGGATCAGGAGTCAAATCTGATTCGGTTTTGGGGATGATTGTGTGTGTGTGTGTGTGTGTGTGTGTGTGTGTGTGTGTGTGTGTGTGTGTGTTTTCTATTTGCAGCTACTTCTTTGGAGAGGTGGAGAAGTGTATAGCAGAGCCTGAGAGGCTGGCTCAGCTCTTCATTAAACATGTGAGTATGTATACACACACACACACACACACACACACACACACACATCAGTGGAAGTGTTTGTATCTGCTTCCCTGTGCTGTTTGGCATCAGGTTAAATAAAGCCGATAAAACACGCAGAGCTTCTGTTTATCTTATGTCGTACCTCTCGCGCGCTCCTTCAATTAATTGCCAGCGTCTCTCCTTCTGCTTCCCTGTTACTGATACGTCTCAGTCCAGGCGGTGTTTTTATAACAGCGCACACGGCAACCACTCACATACACACAAGTGACACACGGGCCAATGTTCAGTCGGGGCCGGACTAATCAGGAAAGAGCAAGGGAAAAACTGCTAGAAAAGACAACATGAAGAAGCCGAGGAATAACAAAACCTCAGCTTTTGCTCTTTGATGTGAAGCCCCCCCCCGAAGGAAAGCGATGCATGCTTTGAAACTGCATCGTTAACTACAATGTTCTTCAAATTGAATAGAGACCAAACCAAACCAAATAGGGTCACACAGCTTTTACAGAGGCAAATTAGATTCATGTATATTGGCTAAGTGGTGGCACATGCAGAGTGAGCAGACATGAAGGGTAACCTTACCAACTTGTCTCTTGTCTGAAGATAATTAAGTAAAAAATCTGTGTCTCTTATGTTACATCCACTCTCTCTGTCTGAAGCTCTAAACATTTCAATAAGAATCAGGCCACTGAAAAATTAACTTTAAAAAAGCATGGAGGGGAATAAAGAAACTTCTAAAAATAGTCTCAAAATTTGAAAAAAAGCAGACAAGCAGGCAGCTCAGTGGTCTCTAGGTTACAGAGCCATGCAGCGTATTGCTCTGGGTTACAGAGCCATGCAGCGTGTTAGTCTAGGTTACGGGGTCGTGCAGCGTATTGCTCTGGGTTACAGAGCCATGCAGCGTGTTAGTCTAGGTTACGGGGTCGTGCAGCGTATTGCTCTGGGTTACAGAGTCATGCAGCGTGTTGCTCTGGGTTACAGGGCCGTGCAGCTTGTTGTTTTAGGTTACAGGACCGTGCAGCATGTTGCTCTAGGTTACCGGGCCATGCAGCATGTAACTCTAGGTGCAGGGCCATGCAGCATGTTGCTCTAGGTTACCGGGCCATGCAGCATGTAACTCTAGGTTACACGACCATGCAGCATGTAACTCTAGGTTACAGGACCATGCAGCATGTAACTCTAGGTTGCAGGGCCCATGCAGCGTGTTGCTCTAGGTTACAGGGCCATGCAGCGTGTTGCTCTAGGTTACAGGGCCATGCAGCGTGTTGCTCTAGGTTGCAGGGCCATGCAGCGTGTTGCTCTAGGTTGCAGGGCCATGCAGCGTGTTGCTCTAGGTTGCAGGGCCATGCAGCGTGTTGCTCTAGGTTGCAGGGCCATGCAGCGTGTTGCTCTAGGTTGCAGGGCCATGCAGCGTGTTGCTCTAGGTTACAGGGCCATGCAGCATGTTACTCTGGGTTACAGGGCCATGTGGCGTGTTGCTCTAGGTTACCGGGCCGTGCAACGTGTTGATCTAGGTTACAGGGGTATAAATCAACAGGCTCTGAAAAGCTCAGGTTACATCGAATGTAACCTGGGTGAATTATATATAACCTGGTGTTCATCTAGGTGTAACTCCATTAATAGTCTTTAATATGCCACATCCGTGCTCCCATGCCAATTAGTCACAGAAGAGTAAGAGCTAACCAGATGGGATGAGCTTCAAAGGCCTCACACTCCGATCATCATTGTTCTGCTGAGACTCACATTGTTAATGTGAGTGCAAAGTCAGTGCAATCTCCATTTATTTTCCTGACAAGAAAGAAAGTATTTTTCCCGTTGTGACTAATCTGTATCAAAGGTTCAACTAAATGGTTTTGCAATAACATGTTTGTTTGGCTTGTAGGAGAGGCGTCTGCATATGTATGTTGTGTACTGTCAGAACAAGCCCAAGTCGGAACATATCGTATCGGAGTATATTGAGACTTACTTTGAGGTGAGTGCCTCTTTTCTTTTTTAAAGCAATCAATATGTAGTTTACTTTCTGTTTATAAATGTTAGACGTGGGTTTTTAACTACATATTTATAGAGAATAAACCCTTCTATACAAATGATCAGTCACCTCTCGGCCTGTAGTTAAATTGCCCTCCAGGATACATGGTGCTTATACAATATATTATACATCCATGCCATTTATTATTCAAATTATAATCATTTCCTTTTCATTGACAATCAACACAACCCTAACAGAAACACACTGCAATCCTTGTGATATTCTGTCCAAAAGGCTTGTATCATTAGTGTTGAGGCCGTGTCTGTCATGTTGACCGGTGTCGTGTTGCTGTGTCTGTCTCTGCCTTCAGGAGTTGCGCCAGCAGCTGGGCCACCGGCTGCAGCTCAACGACCTGCTCATCAAACCTGTCCAGAGGATCATGAAGTACCAGCTGCTGCTCAAGGTGAAAAACAGGGCACTGCCATGCCGTTGAACACACACATATAAACACACACACACGCAGACTGGTGTTCTCTTTGCAGCTGTCTGACACACAGCAGGTTCAGTCACGGCATTGTAAACACGCGCATGGACACTGGTATGTACGAAAAACAAGCGCATCTGTGCCAGCTACTTTCCAACCGAAGAGGAAGAGGCAAATTACATAATAAGATTACTACCATAGGATTTAAACAATATGTGAAAGTCTTTGAAGGTGATCATAAAATGACATCCGTGGTATAACATTTGGCCAAAATATAAAACGTTGCCCCATGGCATTTAAATTATAGATGGGTTGAACGCCCATTAACACTCCTCCAGATGTCCTCGCCTTACTCTGAGCAGTAAAAACGGGATGCTGTGGTGAACATGCTGTGTTTATTTGAGCAGGACTTCCTGAAGTATTACACCAAAGCTGGGATGGACACAGAGGAGCTGGAGGTGGGTGTTCGGACGAAGGGATGATTTTGCAAAGCCATACTTTTTGATACTTTGTAACAAACACACTTTCTGTCTTTTAAACAGAAAGCGGTAGAAGTGATGTGCTTTGTGCCAAAGCGTTGCAATGACATGATGAATGTGGGCAGACTGCAAGGCTTCGAGGTACGTCTCAGGAATTTAGACCATCCTTCAAAGTCTCCAGCCCGAGACAATCCAACCGTTACCACGTCTTCTGCTCACGGTGTTTATCTTTGCCGTTGTACCAGGGGAAGATCACAGCCCAGGGCAAACTGCTCCAGCAAGACACCTTCACTGTGACCGAGCAGGACAGCGGGTTCTTGTCCCGAGCCAAGGAACGGCGGATCTTCCTGTTCGAACAGCTGGTCATCTTCAGCGAGCCCATAGACAGGAAGAAGGGTTTCTCACTCCCCGGATACATCTTTAAGAACAGCATCAAGGTGGGCGGAGCCCCGCTGAATTCAGATCTGCTACACAGGATGTTTTAGCTAAATAAAATAACCCTAGAACTTGAGTTAGTACATTCTGGTCCCAGGCTCTGAGTTGGACAACACATTCACACTCCGGGGATCCTCGTCTTCATTAGCCCACGTTGCGAAATCCCCGCGCAGGGACCACGGCAGAGGCTCGCAGTTAACGAGCGATCCCTGCTGGATGGACTCCCACAAATGCTAACCATGCGTGACGTGTTCCAGGTGAGCTGCCTGGGGGTGGAGCCCAGTGTGGACGGTGACGACGCCCGCTTTGTGCTGACAGCGCGCAACCCCGATGCAAGCGTGGTGCGCTTCCTGTTGCAGGCCTCCTCCCCCGAGATCTGCAGGGCCTGGTTCAATGACGTGGTTCAGATCTTGGAGAGCCAGCGCAACTTCCTCAATGGTCAGTCCCTGCCCAACATCGGCCAGCACTAAACTAACTTTTAATCAAATATTTATAGCACAGTATGATAGTTGTAAACAGATTGAGGTGTTAAATAATTACAGCTCACCATGGGTATCCAGAAGCGGAAGTTGATGTATGTTGACGATAATAAGCTACATTATAAGATGCAAAACATGTCTTATTTTTATTAGAACTGTCTGTTGCTCTGTCTTTCAGCCTTACAGTCACCTATTGAGTACCAGCGACGAGAGAGCAAGTCTAATAGCCTGGGCCGCAGCATGAGGCCTCCTTTGTCTGCCGCCAGCGCCCTGCGGCCGCACTCTTCTGCCTCCATTGACCGGCATAAGCTGCCCTCCCTCCACTCTCACAACACCTCCCTGCCCACACTCTACCTGCCCAGCCAGGGCCAGGGCCAAGGAGCCAGCGAGGCATTCTCCCTGCAGGAAGTAGGTTTCTTTTTAATGGGACACTGTTCTACACTGATAACACACTCATACACAGTATTTCTATTTAAGGCTTTTTTTTCTTTCAGTCAAGGGACTGGTACGTTGCACAAATGGGATTACAAGAACAACAAGCGGTATTGTGTGCATGCTTTGGGTGTCGGTGAGTGACCTACGTGTTTTCCTCTGCAGCCCACTGTGGTCCAGCCATGCCGCGCCGACCCCTGCACTGTTTCTCCGTCGCACGTCCAACTGGGATTCACTGATCAACCAAACTGTCCGGCTGTGTCAAACGGGCTGTACACACATACCACACAAATTGCACAGGTAGTGTACACACTACAACGCTACAATGTGATGTGATTATTATCTTCAAAGCTGTGGTGAAAAGTCATTATGTAACACAGCGTTATATAAGCCCTGGAAAATAATTGGCCGTTCTACAACGTCTAACAATCATTACAATGTGCTCATTATGGGTAATTGAAAGATGAAAGACTAAGTAAATGGTAACCATTTATTCAGACACACGCAGTTAAGGGATTTAAAGAATCTTTGGAGGAGTTATCTCTCCCTCTATTGGATGACCAGGGAATTGATCAAAAATAACCCTCTGAAGGAAATAAATAACATTGCGCTTGTTTGAGTTAATACAAAGATGGGGCACTCTCACACAATTGTACGACATATGGAACTTATCATTTCAGGCCTTTTCCCGTCGACAAAGGAAACATCTTGATGTTAGACTTTAAATGACTGTTAGCGGCGTTTCCTTGTCTTCACTGTTCTGCTCAGTGCCACAGTGTTGCCATGCCAGCAGTCTCTCTCTCTCGCTCAGTTTATTCGGGCTGGACAAGCTTTTTACATGAGAAAAGGGGAAGTGGGTGAGAGGCGACGAGGGGCATGTCGAGGCCAGATAATCGTCTTTCATACTCTGCTGAAACAGAACTGTGGCTTTGAATTAAGTCCAAGGTGTTATACAGTGTTTTGTGTAAAAGTAATACAAATGAGTTTCATTTATAGAAATATGAGTGCAGTCTGTGGGAGTATTTTATCTCTGTGTGATGAATGTTCCCTCCATCCCCAGCAGAGAGCAGGAGAGGGCTGCCGAAGGGGTCAGGCCGCTGATGGCGGCAGCCAGCCTTCGCTTTCGGGCCCCTCAGCTGGACGGCGCCCCAGCATTCTGGCACAGCTGGCTGAGGACGACCTTTGAACTGCCGGCTGTCTCCAGGGTCAGCAGGGTAGCAGCTAACGCCGCAGCTGCGGAGGCGAGAAGACTTGCTGAACCCTTACCTGGTTCCGTGATTATTTCTGGAGGATACTTAGGGAACATATGAAGGAATTATGGGCTGCAACTTTAAATAGGTTTGGCTCCTGTTGTTAGAGAGCCAATCAATGAGAGGGGACCAAACGTCGGCCACCTCGAATGTACATGTACAGCACCCAGTGAGATGTTTCTGGGTTCAGAGTGGAAAAACTCCAAAGGACGCACAGCGCTTTTTATCTTTTTGAGAGTTTGTTCACCATACTCTCTTTTAAAGTGCAAGGGGAATTTGTTGATGAAATATCCATTCCTAATTGGGGCGGTCACTGGAGTTACTTGTCTGACTGAATGTATCTTTGTGCAAAGATGGGTGAATGTTTGAGTGCATGAGAGTGTGAGAGTAGTGGCCGTGGCACCTCCTGCATCCTCTGGTAAATTTCCGTGACGCGTTTTTTTTTTTTTTCTTCTCATTTCCAATTGTGAAGACAGTACATTTTGTCATTCCCCTGCTGACAACTGAGTTTGCTGTTTGTGTCGACAAGAATGGAAGAGGCAGAACACTTGATGTGAAAAAAGCCACCAGGACTTTGCCCACTTGAATTTCCAATGAAAGTGAAGCTTTCTTTCTTGCCATGGTGTTGGGAGCCCCTGTGTGCTTTCTTATTCTGTTTGACCGGCCCCTGTTTGATCTGGACAACAAAAAAAAAGCAGGTGTGAGGGAGCCCCCTGGAGGTTCTCTCTGAGTATGACGTCACTTCTGAATACTTTTGCTCTTTGGGCAACTCCAGAGGAGTTGAGTGATGCAGTAGTTGGATTCAAAGGGACCGCTGTGCTGCAAGTGTTGCATGCAACATCTAGCGTTTGACTTTATTTACAGGCCGAAGAGTGCTTTGGGTTTTGGGGGGCAAATGTCTTTAAAAGTGTATTGGTTTAAAATAATACGAATATTTTTTTGTAGTTCACTGTTGTCATATCATGGCTGCGCACCATTTCTATAATCGCTGTTAGCTTTTGCCCTGATGGACTCAATACAGGACACATACGCATACGAGTGTGGCCCAGTTATGCCGATGGGTTTCAGCATCTTGGTTTGGGTTAGAATGAAGGATGACGTGTTGCTTGACAAAGAGTGAAGCTGGTGAATCTGCATGCTCTTCCTCGGACAACAGTGCCAAAAAAAACTTTATGGCCCTTACTTATTTTTATTTTGTCACAGATTTTTGAACAGTGATAAAGAGGGCAGTGTAGAAGACGGCGAAGGCTGTGAACATCAGTTCAGTTCCTGCGATGCGGCCAGTAGAGGTCCCCACAATACTTAATAATACCACCTTCCGTTCAGTTGGATCGTACAGCTGCACCAAAGATCTATGGGCCACATATTTTTAATAATCTGACCGAAGCACCATTAATTACACAAAAGGCGCCGTCTCACAGAATCCAACTGCAGTCGACGTGATGAGGTTTCATGGGAACTACTCGTCAGATAGTGTTTCGTTTAATGCAAAATATTGCCACTTCAGAGAATCCCAAGCAAGGACACAAGAGAGTTAGTTAATGCTATGTCAGCTGAGTAGAAACTGTTGTATAATATCAAATAAAAAGTGTCTTTTTGAACTGGGTGCAGTGTTTATTTTTTCTCTACTTAATCTCTTGATTAAAATAGACATGCAATTAAAGATAGTTATCTCCGCTATATTGAGGATTTATATCAACACTTTCTTACCTCCCGTGACGACTGTGCTGTTTCCTCATACATTCTCACAGCGTGCTAATTTCCTGTTAATTGAATTAAGCAGCTTAATTATTATTTTTGCTTTTGGCCGCATGGAAGTTCTCATACTCCACTTTTGGGAGCCGCTGAGCAAGACAAAGGCAAAGCGCTTTGCTTGCTCAGAGGCATCCCCCTCACAGAAAGTTCAAACGGGATTAAAAACAAAGAAGAAACCCCTGGATGAGCAGACATCTGGTTGGCTGGCCTTTGAATAAAGGCCCATTCTGGGTTGTAAAGCCGGGCCGATCGTAACACGACTGTGATATATGGAGGCTGGGGACGGAGGGAGGGACGGGGACGGCGAGGGGGGTATAAACTTTCACAAGGGTGCAAAATCAAAGGGAGTTCCTGTCACCACCGAGGGGGTCTCAGCAACAGGGGTCCCATTCACGGGGAATTCCTATCTAGTGCCCTCTGTTGCATCTGTTGACTCAATCTTCTCCATCAGGGGAACGAAAACACTGATTAAAAGCCACATGACTGTGAACTTGATTGCAGCAGGCGCGACAAACAGCCCCCGTCAATGGATTGAGTGTTTACTTTGAGGTGTGAAAATCTTTGAACAGCCCACCATGTTAGGGCTTCTTTGGGGAGCTTCTTCCTTCACACCAACATCACAATGAGCAGCATTTGAATTCTGAAGGCAATCAAATTATCATTTAAATAAAATGCTGGATCTTAGAAAATCACACATTTACCGAATGAGCTAAGAGGGTTAAAAGCCATTAACTTTCAGTCCATCCTAGATATTTACTTCGCAATCAGCTGACAAAATGTAAGGAAAACACATGATTAGAAACGGGGAAATTGTTTCAGCATCGACAGTGTTTATTAAAAATTACATGCGGCCATAACCCCGATGAAATTGTTAATGATATTTATAATTTACAAAGGATTTAAACATTAAAGTGTTTGCTCATCTGGAGCAACGCTTCTACACATTTACTGCTTAAGAGCAAGATAAATCTGTAGATCAAAGACTTACATTTCAAACAGATCCCTACCGTGAGGCTGATAAATTAGGTTATGTTTTGGAGTAAAATCTAATTAAAAGCAACAGAAACATATTTCCAATCTGAACCTGTTAACAGGGGAATGAGTTTTTTTTTTTACAGCAACCTTTAGGTGTGCTTTTATTTGATAAAATATGCACAACATATTAAAGCTTTAAGGGATTTCTCTCATTTCCGTCACATCCTTCTCAAAATATTTACAAAATGAATCCTAAAAAGATTTTTCACATTGTTGAAATTCAAACCAATCTGAAATTGTTAAAGGCATCAAATTTTGTGGTGTTTCAGGGATATCGGTTTGTGTAGCGGTACACTAAGCAAAACTCTCACAATATCACTAAAAAAGGCTTCAAGTATTCTTTACAGCTGCTTCAATCAGCACTCGGTTACTTTGATCAAAAATCGTCTTTAAATATATTTGTATCATACTTGACGTCAAAACTGGGGCTTTGGCGAGATTATCGGGCAGCTTGCCGCTCGCCCTCCAGTGCGAACATATGGCAGTAAGTGTAAGTCACAAAGTCTGTTCATTGTTGATTTTATCTTCCGAATGATGGCCGGCAGAGATTACTCCCTCTTGATGTTGGTGAGCAGAGGGTCCGTGCTCTGTGAAGGCAGCCCAGACCGGCTCTTCCTGGTCTGGTGGGTCTTGACGTGCTTGGAGAGGTGGTCACTCCTCATGAACCTCTTGCCGCACTGCTGGCACCCGAAGCGCTTCTCTCCGGTGTGTGTGCGCAGGTGCCGCTGTAGCTCGTCTGAACGGGTGAAGCTTTTGCCGCAAAAGAGCCAGTTGCAGATGAAGGGCCTCTCGCCGGCATGCCAGCGCAGATGTGCCTTGAGGTGAGAGGTCTTCTTGTACACTTTGCCACACTCTGGGATGTGGCAGATGTGCAGTCTCTTCTTCCCGAACTCTAACCCCCCACCATTGGCCTGGCAGTTGGGGCATTTGCAGCGGCGGCAGCGGCGCGTGGAGCTCAGCAGGCCCTTCGAGGTGCCCTGCAGAGAGCAGCTATCTGCGGCTGGTGGCCCAAAACCAGCTGCCTGCCCAGGGAGAAGGGATGGTTGGTGGGGGGGGGCGTTGGTCAGCGGCAGGCTCTACAACTGCTGCCCTTCGTCCACGTGTCCTTCCGTAAGGTGGTGCCTGGCCGAGGAGTTCTGGATGAAGCTGGGGAAATTTTGTCCCAAGCCGTTGTGCTGCGGGTAATAGGGGCCGGTGGCCTGCGGCTGCGAAGACAGCACTTTGACGGGGGACAGTTCGAAGGAGTAGGAAGAGGGAGGTTCAGCCGGAGGGGTGAGAGGCAGCTCGTGGTGGTGGTGGTGATGATGGGGGTGATGATGGTGATGGTGACCCAGGCCGGGCTGCATGTGTCCCGGGAACTGCACCTTGGGCACGGTGAAAGTCATCTGGTGCGTGCTGAGCGCTGTGCTGGGCGCCATGTCGTTGCTCCAGAGCTGAAACATTCCCGAGGTGGAGCTGACGGTGCTTTCGTAGGGGAACTGGGAGCCTTCTGATCCCATAGTGCCTCCGACCTGCCAGGCCTGGCTACAGGTGGTGGCCAGGAATGAGAGGGCGTTGGGGGCTCCCTCTGGAGACGAGCTGGGCGTCCGGTCCTGAGTGGTGATACACAAAGCACATACAGTATAAGCCACGGAAAAGTTTGAAATAGATATTTAATTTAAGTAAAAAAATGTTTTATTATATAAAATTTTGGGAAATGTCAATATATATAAAGTTATTTTCAATCTGCGTTTGTCCTTATATTGTTTAAACGAGCTTGACTCTTTCTCTGTTATCCGGTTTAATGGATGAATTTTACCACTAAAACAAATTTGATTGTTTTCTCATAAGCGTATCCACCAATTACGCGCAAGTCTTGCGGCAATTTCGCTGCCAGAGAACCAGATAAAACATCCACGCGCAATGCGCGAGAAAGATAAAAACGTGAGACAAACCTGTAAAAAGGTGTGCAAAAAGTTGTCAGTCCTTTGTATCGCCAGCGCAGCCATCTGTCCTCGGGCTTCCTCCTCCGCGCACCTGCAACACCAACTGCGCCGAGAGGCGACGACGCGCGCGAGTCTCAACTGCCGCTCGCAGCGCAGAAACCAAACAAAAAAAGAAGATGCTCACATTCGGTTCTCAGATGACTGGGACACTTTGACACGCTGGGATATCCCGCGTTCATTCAAGTTGTCCCTCAGTCCCACTAGGTAAACTGTGCCGGTGGTCGTTGGAGCGGCGCACGTTGCCGGGTCTAAAGTTGGATGCGGAGTGACGCGCAGTAAGTCCGTGTGATCATCTCAAAGGCGCCTGAGCTGCATCTTCTCTTTATAGAGAGAAAAGATCCTCTCAACGGGGTCTCCAATATGATGCAGGAGAGTCAATAGAGAGGAGGTGTACGGGGGGAGGTGGAGGAGGGGGGGGAGGAGGAGGTGGGTGTTGTTAGGTGAAGGGGTGGGCTACTCGTAATTTCGCTCAATTTCAACCAAATGCTGACCCCAGGAACCGGCTCCTCCCCCGATTGTTCTGAAATAAAATGTTTCCTGTACTATCTGCATCTGAGAGGTTTTAATTGGATCTTTGGACGTCTCGTGTCATTTCCTTTCTTTAAGTTTCAAATAAACCCCCAAAGTGTTTACAATTAGTGTCTCAGCAAATTTCAACTTCTTATTTTAGGAGCACATTTCGAACAAGAGCAAAATGCTTAGTCTGTTGAAAGATGTGAGATGAATATAGCCGGCTTAGTCAGAATACATTTCACTTGGGGAGTATTTGCATACTGCTTCAACTGTGGGAATTCAAGTGAAGATTGTAAATACATATGTTTATTTTTTATTCTTGGCAAATCAGTGATGCGGTTTTGTCTTCCGAAATGTGGCCAAACTATGTGATCTCAAGTCAAACAAGAGGCAAGTTATAAAATAATGAATTAATACCTACAGGGAAGCAGATGTCTTTGTTGTCATTACACAACTTGAATGACTTAATGCATTGGAGAAATTGCTGTTATTTTTCTATCAATTCTATCAATTTCTATCTGCTAATCATCCACCGCACATACACTTTTGATAAAGTGAAATTTGATGTTCTACAATTTCCATCTGGAGACAATGTGTATAATTCTTCTGTAGTGATGTGATTAAGGTGCTCATAAAATGATACATTTTTATTTTTCGTACCGCGGTTTGAACACGCAGTTTGGAGGCCATTCAGCTCATTGTTTGACTTGCAGTTTTCTCCAGATGACACAAACTTTTTGTTTGCTAATCCGGCGGCAGGCAGCTCCCCGTCCCGGCAGGCGTGAGCCTCACTCACGCTGTGAAGACAGTACCAGTGCTTTCCCTCACAAAGCTAATTGATAAAAGTCAATCAAAGCCTCAGAGTTCTCACCAGTGGGTGACATGTCAAATAGGCCGCCCTGTGGGACGTTCTCACATTGCAAGAGTTCAAGTAGAGGCCGCTTCAGATGTGCTCCATTAAATGCAGATTGAGGCTTAATCTCATTCTGTAAGTCTGTTCTCCATTACAATGTTAAGAGTTTAAATCCAGGCTGGGAACCTGTTTCTCATGTAAATTCCTAGTTCCTCACTTATCTACTGCTCCCACTTTGTGGATCCCTCTGTGATCCCTAAATAAACACCTCAAGCAGGAGCCGGCTGAAATTGGAAATAGATTAACGTGGAAATACTTTCATTTAAAACACAAATGTAACGGTTCTTGTATTCCACTTGGTTGTGATTGTTAGACTTTAAAATGTAAAAAGAGGCATAAGTATAAACAATAATACACATGGCAGTAAAAATAACTACAGCACTGTATCATTTGGTTTAGACCTTTCTGAAACGGAGTGCAACTTTCATCGCGTCAGAGACAGAGACACCTCAGCATGAAACAAAAGATCTCTCCAGACTCACAATGACGTGCAGAGTTTAGCTGCAGTGTGCTAATAGATTACATAGATTGTGTTTCATTTAGGTGAGGCAAAAACAGAGCAAATGTGCTGGAATTAAACATGCAAATAATATTCGTCCATAAAGATAATGGTAGGATATCAAACTGTTTGATTAAGCAAAAGCAAAAAATGGATACGTTATACTTTCCCAAATGTTGCCTAATGCGGTTTGATAGACAAATGTAGCAAAAATAATTCCCAAAAGGTTGAACATACTGCAGTGAAAATACGTTGAAACAAATAAAATGCATTATTTTTGCATCATACAAATCTCCTTTGTAAATATGTGTAATGTAACTCTAACAGCATTTAAGTAAATAGTCCAAATCCTAATTAAAGTGAACGATTAGGATGAGAGAAATAGAGCGGAGGACTTGGAAGTAGGAATGTGTGTTGGAGGCAGAGGTATACTGTTATGTCTCCGGTTTATTACCGAGCAGAAGTTGTTAATTACCCTGATTCTTATTTCCTGTCCCCCTCTCTCTCCCCCCCCATCCCCACTGTACTGCCTCCCAGATGAGTGGCTTTGAAGTGCAAAGTACCCTCTCCTCACTTTGAACTGTGAAAACAATGCTCATGTGGTGGTGCTTACCTTCCCCACGTTACCTCATTTAAATAGACCTGGATGCGGCTTCCACAGTTTTCAAGGGAAAACTCATTCCGGAGAAAGAGGTCCCTGTGTTCATCAAACAGATGTTGAGATGGCTGGTAATCAGTCCCGCTCCGTCGTTTCGCTGCACGGCTGCATCGAACCGAGCAGGACCACCGGCACATTCAACCTCAAAACAAACACCGGCTGGATTCCAAACGGGAAAAAGGAGAACTCAACATTAAAAACCAAAAGGGCTTTTAGTCGCAGCGTAATGATCTGAAATACACCTGAAGTTTTTTAGTCCTTTTGCTCATTGTGGAAAACAAATGGTGGTGTTTTTGTTGCAGTCATAATCCCACTCTTAAACTCAGAACGTAGAATATGCAAGTGGCCGCTCAAGCTGTTTTTATCCCGCCTGCGGGGGCAGTTTAGAAGTCTCAGATCACTAAATTGTCCCAGCTGTCTTGACCATCTGCACTCAAAAGGGGACAGCCGCGGAGGAGAGCAGGCTTTTGTACTGGTGGCCATGTCAAAAAGCCAATTTTACAGCACTGTGCCGACTCAATGGCTCTCAAGTGACACATGTGGCCTAATGGATGAGACAGACAGCATGTAAAAGACGGCTGCTAACTGCGGTGTTTTCCTCTTTAACCATTCAAACCCGAGACGGGACAAGATGGGGTGTGATTAGCATGACACTCGCTCGCTTCCACTGGGATGAGGAGCAGCAGAACCTGAAGCCTCATTCAGGAGTCTTTCCTGTTTCCCATTGAGTCAGAAATGTATGGCTCTGTTTATGAGTGGCAGGCAGACTGATGTTTAGAGGCATATTGATACGGTTCACCTCAGATTACTAAATCACATGAAACGTTTAGTCACGTTTCTTCGTTGTACCGTGCCAGTGGATATGTTGTGGTGGGGGGGAACATAATCCCCAAGGACCTCATATAAAAAACTATTGTTTATTTATAGTTATTCAAAACTATTTTTTTTTATTTGAATGAGAGATTGAGTGCTTCAATCAATTCAATTTTTTATGCTAAATCATTTTGGATTGTAAGTAGCCTTCTTAGTTGCTTACTTTATTCAAGGTTTCATCACTCACAAATAGTTTTTTTATTCACAAATGTAAATTTGAAAATCGCTTAATTACAAATTAAACCAACAAATCCCAGAATGGCAATATTTTTGTATTTCTACTGGAATATCTTGATATGGCAACACAATTCTGTTATGACCCCCCCCCCTGTACTTCAGTGTGGGAAGTAGAAATCTACAATAATCCCCTTGTCTCTTGTCCATTAGCATGTACGGAAAGCCCAAAATCTCCCGTCTTGGGCTGACAGCACGCATCTCCACTTGTCAAAGAAAACTTTTATCAATACCAAGAGCACTTGAAGTTTGTTTGCATTTTGTTTTCCAGCACTCTTAACAACTTCAGAAGTCAGATCACAGGAGTATCTGATCAAAGCGCTTCGTGGTTAGTTCTGGAAACACAGGAGTGCTACGCCACGCTTTGATACTCCACATCAATATTTCAATTCAACAATCACTTGACATGCACCCGTGCTCCCAGAGACGAAAGGGGGGAGAGAGAGAAACTCAGGGAAGATGGCGGGTGAAGTATATATATAAAAAAAGAAATAGCTACAAGAAATCACTGCCATCTTCAGTTTGCAATTTTCTATAAAATTATCCGAGATGACCTTTACACAGCTAATGTTGCCTATTATATACTAAAAGGAGTAAGGCAGCCCGAGTTTAGTCAATAACAGAGTTTGTGTTGCCTGATTGCCGTGAAGAACTGCCACAGCATGCACTTTTTATTAAATAGACTCACTATAACCTCACTTAGATCTATACATCAGTGCTGCAGCCGAAACACCGGAAATCTGAGCACAGGACGTGTTTCATGTTTCATCAAAGGTGTCCAGGAACTCTGCAGTGTTAAGATGGACACAGTCCATCTGCCAAATGTCACTTTCACAGCGCCTCATAATCATTTCATCATCTCAACAGGAAATTACATCTTTCAGTCTATAAAATATGACGTTTGATCTGAACAAGAGAGTTGTGGCATTAAAAGGCGTGTAGTCAGTCCAGAGATACTACCAGTGAGGCCTCGGCTCTGGTTTACAGCTCACTGGTTTAACAGAGTCGTTTACTGATAGTTAAAGGAGGGGTTCAACATTTTTTTGTTGCAGAAAGTTAGATGAGAGGATTCATACCACTCTAGTTATACGCTATCATTTGTTTTTCTACTTCCCTTTCTTGTCTTTGTTTGGATGTATTCAAATTCCTTACACTGATAATGTTGATTGCTGTTTAATCGGCTGTCTGACATCATTTCCTGTTGGGGCTAAACTATCCACTGTCACACCGTTTCTGAGCCTGACACGTTTATGTTAATACATACCCCCAACACAACATTTAAAATTAATGATAACTAATTTAGCAGAAAAAAAAGAATTGTTTATTCATAGGGTCTGCTGCGTAAACTCCCTTAAAAGATGAATTCCCTACAATTGCCTGTCGGTACAATGCCACATAAAATGAATAATGAAAAAAGCAAACGCAGAGACAAAAGGGAAAAAGAAGAAACAATGGGATTATCAATCATGAAGCGTCTCCATACGCATTAAGGCAAAGAAGAACAGGGGTAAATAATTAGCTGCAACACTTGACAATACCATTTACAGCCATCAATTCAATGCGGGTATTGTTGCGTGTAGGGACCCCTGCCAATTGATCTTATTGCTTTGTTCAGCGGCTGTGGGAGACGGGAGCACCTGTCACATTGATACCGACATCTGATCTAAACTACTGTACTCCAGAGGGGGAGTGGGAATAAAAATCACACGGCTTATCATAAGAATGGATTCTCCAATGTTCTGTATTGTGTTCATGTTCGACATCACGGGAGAGAGTGACTGTGTAGAGTGTTATTGTTGTTATTGTTGGGAGCGCAGAGGGCCTCGTCGGTGGCGTCGAGAAAAGAAACCAAAGACTAACAAGCCGTGGATCCCATTTCATAAATATTACCCAGGAAGCCCCACGAACGGCTTCTGGGAAGAGAGGTCGGCCCACGTCAGCGCGGTAACCGGCGAGGCTATGGCGAGGCTCCAGCTGAAATCGTAAAATTCAAAGCAGGAGCGGAGCTACAAGGCCTACACGTGCAGAGGAGTGCCGCGCAGCCAGAGCAGTAGCATTTATTTGTAAATGTGTGCTTGTGATGCCACTATCTGTTAAGCCCCTCCGTCAGCTCAGCCCGCGTAATGTGAGGCGAAGTGTCGCCCTGTCACACCATGCCAGGGATCAGCCTGCCGTCTGTGTGCTGTGAGCCCAGCCGAGCTCCGAGGAGGAGGAGGAGGGGAGAAAATGACACGGAGGCGCTTTCATCTAATCCGCGTGGTGTAATTTGCACCTCGGTAAATTTAATTGATGACTACTGATCAAATGCTTGCCTTTGAAAATAGAAATCTTTGGGATTGTTATTTTCCCCTTCAACCTGCAAAAAGAATTCTTAATGCACCCGGTGAGAGGTTTCTAAGTGATGGATCCGATTTTGAGAGTTTGAACTCTGGTAGTGTATATTGAGCAACCAACCACAACTTCTGCCAATATTATGCGTATTTTCCTTTATTCGATACATTCACTTTAGAACTGTACAAACTTCTGCACGCAGCAGTAGCATATGCACCTGGGTTCCGAGTGCATTCAGCTTCCTCCAGAGATCCAACCTGAGCATCAATGTCATTCAGACAAATGGATAGTGACAGGCCGAGCTTATCAGTGTCAACGTCAGCCGGCTCTCCGGGACTTTGATTCCGCACTTTTCCCACAGCTGAACAGAAGGCTGTGCTTTGCAAAACAAACCAACAAACAGGGAACCCGAAGAGTGTGATGAAAGAGTAAACAACACGGCCCGGTTACATGCCCCACAACCATGACACTTCCTAAGTAGGTTACCCGTGGAGGGTAACCCAATTTCACACCTGCGTCGATTCTAGTCAGAACACGCTGAGCGCCTCCGGAAGGTTCCGCGAGACGGTGAGGACGACGAGGAATTGATCCGTCTCAGGACCGTGGCCTCGGAGAATGAAATGGGCCCAGCACTAATGCCCCCCGCGCGCGGGCAAAGCAGTTCATTATCAGGAAAAATGATGGGGAGTCAATCTATTGATGTTGCCTAACTAATTGTAAAGCAGGAGATTCAAAAGCAGATGTTGCATTTCAAAGCAGTTGTGAGCAAGGAGACAGGTTTATGATTTTATGCTGAGATGTGTGCCTTCAAAGCGCCCGAACGCCGCTCCTAAACAAATTGAACAAGGTCAAGCGCTATTCACCCAGGACCAGGAGGGAGCCCGGCGCATGTAGATCAGAGGCGCCCGGCTGCCGCTTGTAATATCACTCAGTGGAGGGGGGTGTGGGGGGGGTCCCACTGGGGGGATTGGGGGGGCAGCTCAGAGAGGCTAACACTGAGCACCGCTCGCACGGAGAGGAATTATGTACGAATGCAGCTGCAACACCTGCGCAGAATCGACTCCCCCTTTCTTTCTCCCCTTCTGGAGCGTCTCCCACAAAGGGGGAGTGGAGAGGGGTGGGCAGCACCTTGAGACTTGACATCCTTTCTGTGCACGGCACTATTATTTGGGAGGAGATTGCAGAGTTGGTGGAAGACACGGGGCCTATGTCAACATACTGATGCAATTTGAGCAAACACGGATAAAACCGGGTTACTTGTAGGGAAGGTCGGTGGATGGGGTTTAAAATGTGTCTTTCCAAACGAGGCGCGCTGCGTTGAAACCAGATCATAACGGATTGGACTCGCCTCAGTCTCCTTTCAGATCTTTCAGTGAGGTCAAAGGCCAA